ACCGTCTCTTTCGTATATATCTACCAACTATTAGTACAAATAATAATTATAGAAAATGTATATTTTTGGATTTTCTCAATAATTTCAAAATCAAATTTAAATGATATTATTTAAATAATAATATGAGAGAGAGAGAGAGAGAGAGAGAGAGAGAGAGAGAGAGAGAGATTTAAAATAATATTATTTTAAATATCTAAAATAATATTATAATATTTAGATATTTAAATAATTATATTATTTAAATAATTATATCATTTAAATCATTTATTTTTTAAATAATTTTAATATGAAAATTAATATTTAAAAAATGTTAAAATATTTTTTTTTTGTAAATATTAAAATATTGTTTAAATTTAGAAAGAAATGATTCAATACATATAATATAAAAAGTAATATTATATGAATTATTATAATTAGTATGGATATATGGGGTAATTACCTATGGTAATATGGTAATGGTATGGTATACATTTGCGGGATATAGACCTATGGGACATATAGGCCTGGAGATATAGATATAGGCAATGCCTTGTATACATAGTCCTATAGCCATCACCCTGAGCTATATACTATATTTTATATCCCAGCATACAGTCCTATATACAGGCAGTCTTATATACTTTGGTACAGAAGCAGAGAAATACGAGACATATCTATCATATATATATAATATATGATATAAATTACGATAGATTGGGGAATGAATCCAAATAGACTATTACACCAAAGCTTTCTTTTCCAAGCTTTTTTTAAAGGCGTGCAAGAGAGCTTAACAGCTTGGTGGATCAGATGAAATAGGTCCTCAGGCAACCGAAGCCTAATAGCAGTTACGTGTTCAATTTTCACACCTGTTTGGTGTTTATGTGACAATTAGCGTTCAATGAAGCGTTAAAGGTATATTGCGTTTATTTAGGCTTGCTTTCAGGTTAATTTTGTCTTAATTAAATGGTAATTTTTAATACTTTCTTGAGAATTTAATTTTTTTACTGTTGCTGCTTCGCTCTCTATCTCTTCATTTCTCTTGCTTTCTGGCTTTCTATCTCTTTCTCTCTCACTTTCTCGTTTTCTCTCACTCACTTCCTCTCTCTCTCTCTCTCTCTCTCTCTCTCTCTCTCTCTCTCTCTCTCTCTCTCTCTCTCTCTCTCTCTCTCTCTCTCTCTCTCTCTCTCTCTCTCTCTCTCTCTCTCTCTCTCTCTTTCTTCTCTCTCTCTCTCTCTCTCTCTCTCTCTCTCTCTCTCTTTTCTCGCTTTCTATCTCTGTCTCTCACTTTCTCGCTTTCTCTCTCGTTTCCTCTCGCTTTCTCTCACTCACTTTCTCTCTCTCGTTTTCTCTCTTGTTCTCTCTCGCTTTCTCCCTCTCTCTCTCTCTCTCTCTCTCTCTCTCTCTCTCTCTCTCTCACTTTCTAAGCACCTCGTCTGAATGCCCAATCTCATGTTGCTGCAAATGCATTTTATATATATTGATAACATGATCCGCCTATATTATATATTTCATATATTTGACTCCTGGCCCCAATCTTAGAGGCCCAATACATTAACCTCCACCACCACTCGGTTTCCTGATTGCCCGCATCACTGATTGGCCTCCTGATTGGTCCCTGTACAATCTCCTAGTCTCTGATCTCCCTCATGCTACAGAACCAAGGTTGAATCACCTCATAACTGCTGATAACTGGTTGTGAGGGGGGAAATCAGTTGCAGCCATTAAGAGGATTCGAACCCTTGTACCATCCAGTCGCTATTCCAGCCTATTTATCCAGTACTCATAATTCTACACTTTTCGACCTATTTTGGGCCTATTTGGGGCCTGAAAACCCTATTTTGGGGCGACAAGATGGTCCTCATATCCCAGTTTCTGACCCCCCTCATGCTCCTGGTCCTGATATCTCGGCTTTTAGTTTATCTCATATCCCCTTCCAAGTACAATATAGTCATACTGCCCAAACGCTTTCGCCTCATAAATTACCTAACCTTGCAAACGACCAAACCACATATCAGAAGACGAAACAAACGACGAGGATTGATACAGTGGTCCAAGATGGACCGAAACGTCGTGGTCTCTCCGTCTTGTAATGGGTGGTTCAGTCATTATATCTTCAGCCCCGTTATTGTGACTCATCATCTCCTTGTAATACCCTTAACATATAAAAAAAGCCTCGTTAACGTCAATACGTCGTTATAGACGTAAAATAAAACGTTTGTTTGGATAGTGGGAGGATGATTTCCTTGAGCAGGGTTCGAAGCCTGGACTACATCTCCTCGGATGCTGAGACGAGCAAGAAGCCAAAGATGCCAAGGCTCAAAGAATCAGGAGCCAGATTCACGAAGCAGTTACGCAAGCACTTACGAACGTGTGCACTTATGAACAAAGATTGGGGAAAGATCTTTCCCCCAATCTTTGGTTACATTAATTAAACAGTTTACAAGCATGAAAACTTGCCAATCAACTGTTGTTATTGTTATAAACAGCCTCCTGGTGCTTCGGAGCTCATTAAATTCTTAATAATTGTAAACAAAGCCGCCAAAGATTTAGAAAAGATGTACAGGTTCGTGTTTGCGTAACTGCTTCGTGAATCTGGCTCCAAGATTATCTGCATCACCTCGTCTCATGAACTTCAAACGAACCGAAGAGTGATTAACCTTGGGCAATTGTTTCACCTTAGAGGCTGAATTGGTCGTTAGCTGAGAGCAGAGAGAGAGAGGAATTACATGCTGTATTTGGGTTTCATTGTACCCTCTGCTGTATTCCACCTCTCATTGTATGTCTCTCATTGTATGAGGCCTATCAACCTCTGGAGGGTTATTAAGGCCTATCAACCTCTGGAGGGTTATTAAGGCCTATCAGCCTCTGGAGGGTTATTAAGGCCTATCAACCTCTAGAGGGTTATTAAGGCCTATCAACCTCTGGAGGGTTATTAAGGCCTATCAACCTCTGGAGGGTTAATAAGGCCTATCAACCTCTGGAGGGTTATTAAGGCCTATCAACCTCTGGAGAGTTATTAAGGCCTATCAATCTCTGGAGGGTTATTAAGGCCTATCAACCTCTGGAGAGTTATTAAGACCTATCAACCTCTGGAGGGTTATTAAGGCTTATCAACCTCTGGAGGGTTATTAAGGTCATCAAATCACTTTACTAACCAGCAAGTGTATTTTAAGTATACTGCGGACTTAAAGTTACTTAAAGTTACAGCATGTTAGAACGACGTAGATTACAAACCGAGTATTATACATGCTTCCATCGTGGTTACAGTATAGGAAAATTCGATTCGAAAATTTATAATGCACATATTTCATGATTATTGAGGGGAAGCCTTATCGCGACCGTTTATGGTCTTTTTGAATTCAAATATTTCGAAGTAACCGTTACTTGAGACGGTTCAGATGCCGACCCTGGGTATATATAACGACTGGGGGTACAGCAAAGGGATACAGTGAGGACTGTAGCACAGTATAAAGGTACAATGAGGGTTAAGGTACATGACAGAGCTACATTGTGGGCAGAATTACAGTTATATGGAAGGAACCACGTTCAAAATACCCGCCGGCGGGAGCGCTAGCCCGTGATTGGCGGAGGACGGCGCATGCGCAGGCTGACGTAGGGAGCGCGCCGCCCCGGGGCCAGGCAGAGGACACCCGCATGGCGCCAAAACCGACCCCCGTGTCAATCCACCCGATTGATTTCGGGCAAATATGACCGATTGACAGGTACGTCGGGACCTCGCCAGGCACCGATCTACCTCCGATGCCTCGAAGACCTTCTACCGCTACGTCAGGAGACTACAGTCGCAAGGTGAGCCTCTTAATTCCATACACATTGTAGCCTCGTGAAGGAACGCTGCCATAGCTGGTGAAGGAGTCCTCTATAATGATGACAGGTACAGCAGAGAGGTACAGTGAGGTACAGCAGAGGTACAGTAAGGACCGGGGGTACAGCAGAGGTACAGTGAGGTACAGCAGAGGTACAGTAAGGACCGGGGGTACAGCAGAGGTACAGTGAGGTACAGCAGAGGTACAGTAAGGCCCGGGGTACAGCAGAGGTGTACAGTGAGGTACAGCAGAGGTACAGTAAGGACCGGGGGTACAGCAGAGAGGTTCAGCAGAGGTACAGTAAGGACCGAGGGTACAGCAGAGAGGTACAGTAAGGACCGGGGGTACAGCAGAGAGGTTCAGCAGAGGTACAGTAAGGACCGGGGTACAGCAGAGAAGTACAATGAGGTACAGCAGAGGTACAGTAAGGACCGGGGGTACAGCAGAGAGGTACAGTGAGGTACAGCAGAGGTACAGTAAGGACCGGGGTACAGCAGAGGTACAGTAAGGACCGGGGGTACAGCAGAGAGGTACAGTGAGGTACAGTAAGGACCTGGGGTACAGCAGAGAGGTACAGTGAGGTACAGCAGAGGTACAGTAAGGACCGGGGTACAGCAGAGGTACAGTAAGGACCGGGGGTACAGCAGAGAGGTACAGTGAGGTACAGTAAGGACCGGGGTACAACAGAGAGGTACAGTGAGGTAAAGTAAGGACCGGGGTACAGTAGAGAGGTACAGTGAGGTACAGAAGAGGTACAGTAAGGACCGGGGGTACAGCAGAGGTACAGTGAGGACCGGGGTACAACAGAGAGGTACAGTGAGGTACAGCAGAGGTACAGTAAGGACCGGGGGTACAGCAGAGAGGTACAGTGAGGTACAGTAAGGACCGGGGGTACAGCAGAGGTACAGGGATGGCTATGGTTGAGTAGGGAAGGTGGGTGAAGACTCAATCTGAGAGTTGAACACGCGGGTACGGGGGTTGAACACGCGGGTACAACAGTTGAACACGCGGGTACAACAGTTGAACACGCGGGTACAGGAGTTGAACACGCGGGTACAACAGTTGAACACGCGGGTACAGGAGTTGAACACGCGGGTACAACAGTTGAACACGCGGGGACAGGAGTTGAACACGCGGGTACAACAGTTGAACACGCGGGTACAGGAGTTGAACACGCGGGTACAACAGTTGAACATGCGGGTACAGGAGTTGAACACGCGGGTACAACAGGTGAACACGCGGATACAACAGTTGAACACGCGGATACAGGAGTTGAACACGCGGGGACAGGAGTTGAACACGCGGGTACAGGAGTTGAACACGCGGGTACAACAGTTGAACACGCGGGTACAGGAGTTGAACACGCGGGTACAACAGTTGAACACGCGGGTACAGGAGTTGAACACGCGGGTACAGGAGTTGAACACACGGGTACAACAGTTGAACACGCGGGTACAGGAGTTGAACACGCGGGTACAACAGTTGAACACGCGGGTACAGGAGTTGAACACGCGGGTACAACAGTTGAACACGCGGGTACAACAGTTGAACACGCGGGTACAACAGTTGAACACGCGGGTACAGGAGTTGAACACGCGGGTACAACAGTTGAACACGAGGATACAGGAGTTGAACACGCGGATACAGAAGTTGAACACGCGGATACAACAGTTGAACACGCGGATACAACAGTTGAACACGCGGGTACAGGAGTTGAACACGCGGGTACAACAGTTAAACACGCGGGTACAGGAGTTGAACACGTGGGTACAACAGTTGAACACGCTGGTACAACAGTTGAACACGCGGGTACAGGAGTTGAACACGCGGGTACAGGAGTTGAACACGCGGGTACAACAGTTGAACACGTGGGTACAAGAGTTGAACACGCGGGTACAACAGTTGAACACGCGGGTACAACAGTTGAACACGCGGATACAAAATTTGAACACGCGGGTACAGGAGTTGAACACGCGGGTACAACAGTTGAACACGCGGATACAACAGTTGAACACGCGGGTACAGGAGTTGAACACGCGGGTACAACAGTTGAACACGCGGGTACAACAGTTGAACACGCGGGTACAACAGTTGAACACGCGGGTACAACAGTTGAACACGCGGGTACAGGAGTTGAACACGCGGGTACAAAATTTGAACACGCGGGTACAGGAGTTGAACACGCGGGTACAACAGTTGAAACACGCGGGTACAACAGTTGAACACGCGGGTACAACAGTTGAACACGCGGGTACAACAGTTGAACACGCGGGTACAACAGTTGAACACGCGGATACAGGAGTTAATTTCAGCGCTGTAATTGAGCACCAGAGGAGTAGGAGAATGCTCAATGAGTCCTTAACTATGGTACAGCCGTTCTGTAACGACTCATGTATCTTGAATACAGAAATTTGAATCGTTACCCCCTCTAATTGCTCAAAATTTCAAACTTCTAAATCAATAAACGGATATCGTCAGGTGATATCTTAAAAGTTATATTGACTGTAGACTATCAAGATAGCCAATTGTTTAATGATAACAATAGGTCTTACTAACGACTAATAGCGAACTATCGTTAACAGTCAGTTGTTTAACAACAAACAACCCGTTCTCTAACCAAAATGCGTCGGATTTTGTACGTATCCGACCAATACGTTCACATTGCGACGTATTAGTACAAATTAAGGCGCTGTAAATTTGACGTTCTTCAATATTTGGTCTTTCTGGGTTAGGTGGGTTGCTTGGGTTAGTGTGTTTCTGGCTAGGGGGGAAACAGTTGCATTTGTTACGTTTCTGGCTAGGCAAAAATATGATGTACACAACCCCTTACGAAACCTGTACATCTTTCCTCACTCATGGCGGCTGTTTACATATATTAAACGGGTTATGAGCCTCGAAGCACTATATGAGGTTGTTTATAACAGTAACAACCTCGGGTTGTGGAGTTTACAACCTGGTAAACTGATTAATATATGTAAACAAAGTCCGCCATGATTGTTGAAAGATGTAGAGGTTTCGTCAGTGGTTGTGTAACTTCTTGATGAATACCGGACCAGGAGGCATAGAGAAAATATAATAAAGTGAGGAACAATGAGTATATTGTATCAACCCCATGTATACTATATGAATGTATACATACAGCATGTATACTATATGAACCCCAACTCCCCCTATACATAAGACGGACATAACTACCCAACCACTCAGAGTGTTCAAGAGAGAACATGACCACCACTGAACAAACCTCATGAACCAGATGAACAAATCCACAAAGGCCGTGACGAGGATTCGAACCTACGTCCGAGAGCATCCCTGGTTTGATCAACCAGGATCAACCAGATGAACACATCCACAAGGGCCGTGACGAGGATTCGAACCTACGTCCGAGAGCATCCCTGGTCTGATCAACCAGGATCAGCCAGATGAACACATCCACAAGGGCCGTGACGAGGATTCGAACCTACGTCCGAGAGCATCCCTGGTCTGATCAACCAGGATCAACCAGATGAACAAATCCACAAGGGCCGTGACGAGGATTCGAACCTACGTCCGAGAGCATCCCTGGTCTGATCAA